AAGAAATTTTGTAATTTTTGAAAAAAGCCCCTTTTGTTTTCTCGTAATTAAACTTTGACGATTTTTTTTGTTTTGTTTTTGTTCTTTTCATTTTGTAGAGTTAGTAATGGGAAAAAAAAAACATGCATCCATTGTGAAAAGACAAAATTAAAATGTTTTTTTTTTTTTTTTTTTTTTTTTTTTTTTGTATCTGACGAATGAATATAACGAGTATATGCGAAAATCGAGAATCGAATGAAAATTTATCGATGTTTATTATTCTTATATTTGACTCATTGATTTATAAAAAAAAAAAAATGAATTGTTTTTTGAAATAAACCGTTTAAAGAAAACAAAAACCTGATGGAAAACGATAAAACCGCAAAATGTTGGCTACGGAATTGACTTTGAGAAAATGTGGGGGAAAAAAAAAGATTAAATATCCTCAAATGAATTTATGAATACTAAAAGAAAGAGAGGGAAGTAAAGAGATGAAGGAAAAAAGAGAGAGAGAGAAAGGGAAAGCAATAAAGGAAGATAGAGAGAGAAAGAAAAAGAGAGTTGGAGGAAGAAAGAGAAAGAGAGGTGAGGGAGGAAGAGAGAGAGAGGGAGAGGGAGGTAAAGAGATGAAGGAAGAAAGAGAGAGAGGGAAGGAAAGAAAGAGGGAGAGGGAGGGAAACAGATGAAGGAAGAAAGAGAGAGAGGGAAGGAAAGAAAGAGGGAGAGGGAGGGAAACAGATGAAGGAAGAAAGAGAGAGAGAGAGGGAAAGAGAGATGAAAGGAGAAAGAGAGAGAGAGAGATTGTTTTCGTTAATAATAAAAATTAACTTACGTGTAACACCTTTTTCGAGATCTTCGTAAAATCCGCAGGCTGCTAACTGTTGCAAAACCTGATTCGAAAGTCTGCTAAACGATTCGATTCGTCTTAATCTATCAATAATGGCTTTTATGTCGGTGTCTGTTCGATCGTTCGGACTGCAAATATATATATAAAAAAAAAAAAAATTAAATTATTATTTAATGAAGTAAATCAGGAGTGCCAACTTTGTTTTTTTTTTTAAATTTCCGTTTTATATTTAATATCCGTCTTTGATTTTATTATTTCGTTTTAACTTAGAAAAAAAAATAAAAATTATAA